TACCTTTCTTTCTGTTTATCATGTTCTTTTCTTTCTCTGTAAGGAGAAAATAAAATGAGTGATAGATATTTCACGAAAGAATTAATACACTGCCTGCATTAGGTTTAAAGAATGGGGTTTCCGTGTTCATACTTTTCACCCGTTCGATATATATTTATCTTGTTTTTCTACCTCAGAACAGCAAGAAAAAATTGTATAATAATAGCAGCCTATATAGTGCAACAGAAGAAGTACTAGGCAAACTTCCAAACTTTTGTCAAACCTGGTTTTAATAAACAAGACCAGCTTTAGGTATATCTAGTAGTAATTTCTCTGTTGTATTAAAAGAAGAAAAAAATTGTCAATATACATCACTCATTATTCCAACTTCAGAAGATAATTACACAAACTCCTAAGGAATAATATTTCGGTTTGTTGTCAGGTTTGTTTCTCACAAAAATGTAGATGATTTAAACTGTGTATATAAAAAAAAAATAACCCTTTCTGTGTTACATGCAACAAAACATCACTTGACGATAATCACCTTCAACTCGCGATGAGATAAAAATCATCCCATGTTTGTGAATTTGTTTGTCTGTGAACTTTCCCACAGTTTTGAGGCTAGGAGGATGAAACTTGACAGGCACACTCATACAAAATCATGCCTGGGGGGTAGGTTTACAGGGTAACTGAACCCAAATCTGTCATGGGATTTTGTGTTCCTTGACCCGTTAGCTCGGGTACAATGAGCGAGTGTTCTAGTAGGATTTGTCTTTTAATACTCTCAGAGTAGCTATGGACGTAACTGGGGATAATGTAGGAGATTAATCTATACATTTGGGCCTCTGCATTTTACAGTAGTATCAATAATGTTGAAAAACTAATTTATTGTACAACTACACTTTAAAATGAATATTTTTAGATACATATTTGTATCTAATTCAATTTACTTACACATAAGACATTAATAATGGTTGGAGACGGCTTGAATGGGTAATGAAGAAAAAACTTTAATATAAGTTTAACATAACAGCAAATGTACAAAACCTTG